GTGGTCATTATCCTGGTTTGAGCCAGATGCTCGTACTTGGATCATGTGGATGCTTCACCTCAGCAAGGACACGAATTTACCACAAATATCACGAATATACCTGCAGTATATGACCAATGTTTAGTGAAGGCCATTGTTAATTGCTTATCAGGTCTTCATTTTCACCATGTCACAACTACACACTATGTCGAACTTTTTTTAACTACCAACAGATGAAATATATCACTCTCCACTTACTCAATGAAATAAACTATATACAGTAAACTACGGTTGTAACTAACTCAAAGGGACCACTAATTTGAGTTTATTATAAGCATATATACAGCATATGTACAGGAAAAAAGTTTGTTATATTAACACAGTTTACTGTATACATGGTATATATATGTTTTGTTGTATATATATAACAATGCCTTTGAGAGCATGAAACACATTTTAAATGGTAAATCATCATGTCTAGTGATGTTTTATATCAAATTTCTTACTTTTATTGACCAAGTTTGTTATAGATCTACCTGCTTATTCACCTCAAGGGATACGATGTTTGTGTTTTTTTAAAGCGCATATTATACTTGATAAATCTTTTTTTACACTATGAATCATAAATAACTTCTATTCTAATCTTTTTTGAAACTCTGATGCTGAAATGAGCAGCGTTGATCGTGTTAGGCAGGCAGAGCATGTATACTGTTTTGTTGGTCATCTACCACCTACGACTCGACCTTCTTTAGACCGCTGATCATCTATAACGCTCATCAATTATTTGGACCCCGAAGGTAGCGTTGTAGCGAGGGATCACTGTGTGTGTGTGTGTGTGTGTGTGTGTGTGTGTGTGTGTGTGTGTGTGTGTGTGTGTGTGTGTGTGTGTGTGTGTGTGTGTGTGTGTGTGTGTGTGTGTGTGTATATATACCTTCATAGTCCTTTGTTGTTTACCGTATGTATACATGCAAGTCCTTCATGCTTCATGTCAATCACATCCGTCGACAATCAATATACAAATATGCCTTGAACAGTTTGTTTAAAAATAACATAAGATGAAAAATAATTGATGAAAGAAATAATAAATAATTTCTGGTAGCCTCACTAATTGATTGATTCCTTTTCCTGTTTTAGAAATGAGGCTACCTTAAATTTTGCTGAAGAAAGACATAAACAATATATCTGATTAAGCAAGTTAAACGGTTTAGATGCTTCTTTTAAGCATATTTAGTATCCTTTTGTTTGATTTCTTTTAATGCTTTAACCTCAAACACTTTGACTCCATGTTTTAACTTTTAGTTTCCATTCTGCTTCTCATGGCAAATTGACCAGAAAATCTGTAAGGCAAGAAAAGTGATTGGTTACCAGTGTGTTGAACTTCTGAATCTGGTCCTCTTGGTGACCTTAGTTGCATTTAAGGGAAATTGTCATAAACATGTACAAGGTTGAACATCTTGAATGAGGTATTCTTCCAAAACTTTGAAATAAAGTGAAGTCAAGTTTCATAACAGTAGGACAGTGTTTGCTGTGTACTGTTAGAAATACAGATTGGAAATACCTGGAAAGCATTAAAACGTTTGTCCAAATGTACAAGGTATGTATACCAAGTACGGCTAGTTCTTTCAACATCTTCAATGGTCAGGATGAATGAAACTGAATTCTGGTGTTGTTTCAAACATGGCACTTTCCGACTGATCCTTTTCTAGATGTGTGCCACCTATCAAGTTCAGTGTGACTAACATGAATTAAACTCTAATATCATCAGATTTATGTGTCCCCCTCTCTGTAGTGCCCCTTGGTCAAGACTGGCAAAGGGGAACAGGTGTACATCAAAGGAGTTGAGGACAAGTGATACTTGTTGTGGAATGCTCAGAAAGAGTAGCGACCCATTAAGATCCGGGTAGAATAGGTCTTCAGCAACCCATGCTTGCCGTAAAAGGCAACTATGCTTGTCGTAAGAGGCGACTAATGGGATCGGGTGGGCAGGCTTGCTGACTTGATTGATGCATGTCATCATATCCATATTGCGTGGATCGATGCTCATGATGTCAATCACTTGATTGTCTGGTCCAGACTCGATTATTTACTGACCGCTATCATATAGCTGGAATATTGGTGAGTGCGGCGTTAAACAACAAACAGAAAGAAGAGCACTTATCAATGCTTGTTTAAGGCATGAATGAGTCTAAATGTTTAAATTATAATTGTGTATTTCTTTGTAATCACGGTAATACTAAAATGTCAGAAATTATCCACATGGAAGAGTACATTACATGTTCAATTTGTTCAAAAGCAAATAAAAATGACAATTGTTTATTGTTGAGAAATTCCAAAATGACCATGGGATGTATTGATTTCAATGTAGGGAATAGGAACAATTGTTCAGTCACAAGCTAAATATTGTTATGCATGTATTTACCTGACTGTCATAACGTTATTTTAAGAGGAACAAATGGTGACTGGGTAATTTATTTATTTTATCAATAGTAAATAAATAAGAAAATGTTTTGAGAAAACATCTTACCGTAAACTTCGGGACTGTAAGTACCATTCTCACAAGCACAGATTTAAGTAAAGAAATATACAAAAAAATTGATCTTGTTAATTGTTTTATAAACAGTCCTATATTTTCATAAGGTGATTTATCATAATATCGGTGACAGTCATCAAAGAGCTCCCTCTGAAGGATGCCCTTGATGTAGACATCCATCCATCAGTGTCATGAAGAGATGAATCAAAATGATGATCTTTCAGTAGAAAATAACTCAGGTTCTACCCCAGTGTGTAGATGCCATGGTCAGCAAATAATAAAATCTGCTCTTTATTTGGCAGGGAGTGCAATGAATTGGCATTGGGCACTTCAATAGGCAGATGGCATGTTTGACACGTTCACAGCATCCATAACTTGTACTATAATAGCCTTAGCATATGCTAATATTTCCCTACTGGATCCTTGTTTGGTCCATTGTTTGTTCAAGGTATCACAATATACATGCTTCAACTAACAGGTGAGGAAATATTCATAATGTTCCAATAGAAATTCCACCACTCCTAAGACTCCTTTCGACAGGTCTGAGGCACGTGTCTGGATTAAAGGCCTGTTTGCTTTGATTTTTATGGGGGCACGGAAACTATTGTTTGACTCAAATAAAAGGTAGAAAATAGGATTGAGCACTGCAGAAAGATTTGACTGATACACTCACAAAATAATCAGCAGGTGATAGTTTAATGGAATGACCATGATCACTAGATTTCATGCATGGATGACGACGAACCTCCCTCGCTTGTGTTGTCCCCATGAGCAAAGCTTGGATGTAAATTATGGGTTTTAGACCTTACAACGGTGTGAAAAGGGGTGTTTAGGTGTGTAGAGACGGTGTGAGTGAAGTTGGAGGAGGGGGAAGACAAAGGAGATGTCTGGAGGTTGTGGGCAACATAGCTATTGGATCGGCTGTGAGGAGAATGTCCACATGTTGGCTTTGACCTCATGGGGGAATTAGAAGGTGTGTGATGTTATTGTTAGAGGCCTGAGACCTGGTATTTGATGACAAATAGATGATATGGTACAGTGTGGTCTGTAATCTGAGGCGGTGTAGATCATGATGGCACAATAAGTTGTTGGTAGAATTGTTAAATGTTCATCTTTTCTCCATGCCAGCTGATTAGATGTTCTTATGTCTAACTAGGGGTGTACTGATACACTTTGTGAAGATCTGATACACATCTCCGTAGTAGGACAGCATCATCATACACAATACGCTACATAACAACAGGACATGTGATGTCATGTTTCACCATCAATGCAAATTTAAGATACCCAATTAAAATATATAGTAAGTTAAGACAACATTAGTATGATAAATCTTTTACAATTCATCAGAAAATAGCCTTTGATGTCACCTGTTCTCCTGATATGATATATATAGACTTGTACTGTTCTGCATCAATGAAGGATGAGATGCAGTGTTTGTATTATACATGCCAAGTCTTTTTTAAGCCTTTGTTGCATGTCTTTTTATGTACTTTTTAAGATGTGTTTTGTAGTTTGTAGAACATGGGCATGTAAAGTAAGGATCTGACAATTTTTGCTCAACATCATCAACTGTAGTGTAGTTAATTAAACTACTATTAACATCACAGAACAAAGAAAACATTTTAAGCTGAAAAAGATCAATTCGATTATCATGGTTATCATCAATTTCAATAATCATCTGGGGGCACGGGTGGCCCAGTCATCTAATGCACCGCAATTCTTTTGCAGAGTTGGGCACGCTAGAAACCTATGATTGTGGGTTCGAATCCCGGTTCGCCCCGATTATGTTTCTAGGTTTGTCAGCACCATACCCGTGCTCGTGGGTTTCACCGAAGTGGTAAACATCTGAGACCTACATCACTTCGGGCTTTCCTCCCACATTAAGCTGACACGCCGCGATATAACTTGAATACTGTTAAAAGCGGCGTTAAACCCAACTCACTCACTCACTCACTCACTCACTCAATAATCATCTTCTCTCAGCATGCTAAATGGTTGAAACGCGAACGTCCTGGCACCATGTATCCAAAGAACCTGAAATTCTCTATTTGGGTACCGGGTAGCAATTATTGTGCAGAACTTTTCCTTCCCAGATGCATGATAAGATGCTCCATCATCAATGTAAAAATACACGCCCAAAACAAAATATATTGTGAATTTGAGTCATTACAGTCCATCAGATAATTGGATGTTACATTCTATTTGCATGTTACGTGTTCTCCTCATGTAGACTTTAAATGTTTTGTGGCAATTGTGATGCATCAGGACTCACCTGTATAGAAGATCTGGTTGTATTTAGGGGAAAATGCAAATGTTAAGTTTTTATATCGAAAGTTAGGACCTGCTCACAATAACCAACTCGTTCTGTATGTGTGTGGTACATTTAAAACATCATCAAAGAGCAAAAACAACATTTCATGCTCAAAGACAACAATTTAATTTCACTTCTTTGGTTTGCAATTATTAATGCAAGACTTTTCCTTTCCAGATGCACCTCATGGAAAGTCAGGCCCTGGCTACTACAATGAGTATGGTCACCATGGCAGCATGGACATGGCTGCGGCAGCCATGGCGATGGGACTGCAGTCCATGGCCCATGCCTCCAGTTCCCAGGACTTCTCGGGCCTCAACGCACTGGCGGCAACAGCGATGTCTTGTGCCAGTGGAAGCATGTTTGATCAGATGGCAATGAACTATCCCCTGAAGCCGGAGAAGAATCTGCCACCTACACCTCCAGGTGATGCCTCAGTACCACAGTGACAGGCACAATATTATTGGCTCATGTCTTATAGAAAATAAAGTTACAAATACCAAAATATTATTATACGAACTGAATTATTCATGTCCCCATGGAAGACAATTCTGCTGTACCATCCTTACCAAGTAGTATACTAGTGACTGAATGATCATTATAATTGAAATTTTCAGTAATTTGTTTTGGTTCCTTATCTGCCAGGATCTGGTCTTAGTGGGATTGAATATAGATTAGCCACAATAATGCTCCTTCATTTGCCAATGTCAACTGTCTGTGACCTGTGTCACTCTAGGATTCTCACTGGCAAGCTATGATATAACTGAAATATTTTTCAATGTGGCAGTTGGAAACTCTGTATCACTCATTGTTGGTCATATTGTCAGTCACTGGATTGTCTGGTCCAGACTGAATTACTTACAGACCGCCGTCATATACCTGGAATATTGCCGAGTGTGGCATTAAACAACAAACAAACAAACACTATTTTAAATAAACTGCTTTTGTTTGGCCTGCCAACACCCTCAATATTATGGTAAAAAATACAGCATAGTGAATCCATCATGAAAAATAATGACAACTTTTATGAGTTTTTGCATGCCAGGTACTGACCAATGAGATATACATAAAGAGCAACAATTATTGTTGTTGTCCCAAGTTTCCTGCTCATGTACATGCACCATATTTGTTGTTTCCTACATAGAGCCTGTGGCACGGGTACCCAGTCATATAAAGCTAGCAACTCACTGTGCAGAGTTGCATCCCTTGGGTTAGACTAACATTTAGTCTCTGAAATCTTATATTACACAATATCCTTCTTGACTCTAAAAATAAAATAAAAATTCCCTATGCTGATTTCAGAATAGAGCTAGCTTGAGCTGGCTAGACTTGCTTTTGTATGCATTTCTAGATTATGTTTTTTTCATAAAATAAATATATTCCACGGTCATGGTGCAGGACTACCCTTGGGTATACCAGAGTCACATTGTCAGAGTTTGAATCATGGATTCATTCTTGTTATGATTTCTTGTTTTTTCATCCATATACCCTTACTAACACACCGTGAAATTCTGTTCAAATAGGCATTAAACCCAACTCCCTCACTCGCTTAATAAAAAAATAAAGTTAAACTTTTGAAAGAAAGTTGTACAGGTAAGTCCTGTATGTGAGTCATGAATGAATTCTCATGACTTTTCTGACGATCCCAGGGAGTCCTGATGATCCAAAGGAGTTACAAGGAATACCTGGCTTGTCCAACTCAGACCACACCTCACAGAACATGATGGGCAAACCTGTGCCCATAAGAAGAGGCTCAGAGAGAAGACATGCCCATGCCAGAACCAGTTTGACATCACCTCCGATGGTGTCGCCGTCAATGATGTCGCCAGAAGCCATGATGGACCCAAGTATGGGGATGATGCAAATGTCAGACAGTAAGTCGTTATGTGTACCTTGACCTCATGGTTAGTGTTAGCAATTTATAATACTGTAGCGTATTGCCATTGTGAGTAGTGTTAGAGTAAATAGTATGAGCTAGCTCGAGCGATGGCGTAGTTGATGACGTCAAAACCACAGGTACTACCACCATAATAGATGAATAAACCTGTCATCATATCCCGAGGTATAAGTGGTTATAGATCATTGCAGCAGAGACCATATAATAGATTATATGGTCTCTGATTGCAGATATAACTCTCAACATGAGAACGACATTGAGAAACACGAAAAATACCATGGTGCTGATTGGTTTCACCAATTCATGAAGTAATTATATTTATCTGCACATCTACATACTAGTGGGGCGGTGGGGTAGCCGTGTTGTTAAAGCGTATGCTTGTCATGCCAAAGGCCAACACGTGAGTACAATATCATATTAGGGTGTCCCCTGGCATGATATTGCTGGCATATTTCTAATAGCGCTGTAAAACCACTCACTCACGCACTTTTCAAACTATTACCACCCCATGGGAATTGCGCTTGAGACTTTGTCAATTGCAAACCATTTGTAACCTGATGGTGTGGAACATTGCTCATGCTGTCAATCATCGATTTGACTGGTCCGGACATGATTATTTTCAGGCATCTATCTTATACTGTTGAGTGTGGTGTAAAAAGAAAAACTGGTACCATGCATACTGGAACATATTTTGGCTTTATCATCTCAACTGTCACTATCAATATAAAAAGATTACTTAAAATGCTTTATATAAAACCTGTTGAAAATGTATCTTAGAAACTTTACATTTTTGATATTTTTAATTTTTCGAAATGTCGACTTGATAGGCCAAAGAAAAAGTCTTGTTTAGTGTCTCAAAAAAAATTGAAAACCTTTTCATTGCAGGGTTATGTTCATCAACATGAACAAAAACATTTTGTCTATTTCCAACTGGAATAATGAAGTAAACAGACATGTTATAAGTATCTGAAACATAAGTTATAGATATATCACCCATGCAAGAAAATATACACCATATCTTTCAGTTGTGATCACGGTAACCATGGACATTATTTGTATTATGTTCTGTCAGATTAACAAGACAGTAACCAACCTGCAAAGTTGCAGTGTGTATTTATCATGTGTGTAACCCTTCATACTCAAAGATTAAGTGGAAACTGCAAAAACCATGATGGTATTAGTACAGGAATAATCCCTAAACGTTATAGCCTTCTGACACCCGTGAAGATTTGGGTGAGAATAATGTCTTCAGCAACCCATGCTTGCCATAAAAGGTGAATATTCTTGTCATAAGAGGCAACTAAAGGGATCGGGTGGTCAGGGTAGCTGACTTGGTTGATGCATTGTCATCGTATCCCAATTGCTTGGATCGATGTTCATGATATCAATCACTGGATTGTCTGGTCCAGACTCAATTATTTGCAGACCGCCGTCATATAGTTGGAATATTGTTGAGTGTGGCGTTAAACAACAAACAAACAAACAAGCTTTATAGCATGTATAGTCGGCTGCTTATTTGTATAAGGTGCTTGACAAAAATGTGAATATGGATTTGTCTTGGTTGAGCTGAAGTGTGATGTTCTGATTATTTTATTAATACCCTGGTATGGTCGATCACGGAGTATCTACAACTTGCATTAGTCATGATATACCTGTATGTATGTCATGACGAATACTTATGTTTCTAGGTTTGTCAGCACCATACCCGTGCTCGTGGGTTTCACAGAAGTGGTAAACGTCTAAGACCTGCATCACTTCGGGCGTTCCTCCAACATTAAGCTGACACGCCGTGATATGACTGGAATACTGTTAAAAGCGGCGCTAAACCCAACTAACTCACTCACTCATGACGAATACCCTGATCGATGACCACCAATCAAGACTTGCCTTGACATATGACCTGTCTTTATACTCAAATTTACTCGTAATTTTAGAGAACAAACTGAGTTTACATGAAGTTTGCTGAGCAATAAATATCCTGTGCACCATAACAAGGCAGTCATTTTCAGTGTCACATCTGAGTAGCCTAAGATTGGGACATAAATTCTTATAACTCATGTTTACATGGGATAATGTTCCATGTACAGGACAAATAAGTGAGTTATTGTTCCACTGTGTTTATGACATTGGAAAACACATTGTTCTTTACCCAAAATTTACAGCTGCCTGAAGAATGATCCCACAGGGACCCTATGCCATAATTGAACTGCTGAAGTAGTGAAGTGGTGTGTTCTAACTCATTGGTTTTTAACAGTTTTTTAATAGCCAGTGCTAGAACTATTCTTGCACATCAACATGTTACATCACAGGTGTGTAATAATAGATTTAACTGGTGCTTTGTCATGTTCAGCTATGTCTTGCCGTCACTTTTGTCACCTTGTCTGTTTTATGGGAGACACATCTCCAGATAATGCTGTCTTTAATCCTGGTCTTGATAAGAAGTGTTGTTTACTGGCCTTATTTAAAACTGACTCGTTTTGATGAAGGCCCTGTTATCTGTGTGACCTGTTATCAGGGCCATCTTTCAGACATGCTAGGGTCACATGAAAGTGAGAGGCATGCACACCTCATGGCAGAGTGTTACAGCCCAATACATACCCACTTTGTGTGTGAGTGTATAAAATATTTCAAATTCCACAACATGGTGGAATTCGTATATTTGTTATTTCATTACAATTATTGCTTTGTGTGCAGGTATAAATAAACATTATGTTATGAAGCTAAGAATGGTTAAGTTTGCATCAGAAAGTAATATTTCATATTGATTCAATACTAATAAAAAATCAAGAAGTGAAATTGTTTGTTAAACTGCATATATAGTAAAGGTATGCCATGCCAACAGCAAAATTGAATCAACATTATAAAGAGCTCCTGATTGATGTCCCAATACAATACATAAATTAACTATTGGATATAAACCTCCAATGTAATAGAGGTATGCTCATATGATTCATATGATAATAATAACCATAAAATAATAACATAGATGTCTTTGGCATGCCTGAAAAATGTGAAATTGCTGAGAAGTTAATCAACGATGGGGAATGAAATGTGTTGGTTTTTTCCAAAGGTGCAATAATTCTCTGACAAAGATCTTTAGGTGTGCATTTAGTAATTTAAGTGTGCTTAGAAATCATGTGCAATGAGAATTAAAAATGTCAACACCCATGTCCAAAGAAAATAATAAGCTGGTACTGATAATTTTTAGAATTTGGTGTTTTTGTTGGCTTTTTGAATATTATCAAACACATTTCCATGGAGTATTTCAATTGAATCACTTTGATTTTTAAGAATGTCTTTCAGACACTGGGAATTTATTTTGACAGTGCTATAATGATTTTAACCATGTCATTGGCACCCAAACACATGAACACTGAGCTCAAATTTACATTTGAATTCACCAAAAATTAAAGACAGAATGAAATATTGGTTGAAGCGCTAGTAAAATCATTGTATGTTTTTTTTGTCTTTATGCCATGTTGTCGATTCCCTACATAAGTACAATGTGTGAAGCCCATTTCTGGGTGACGTTGCAAGGCTGTAGTTAACTTTTTTGGACCGGGGGGGGGGGGGGGGGGGGGAATATTTGTACAAGTATCACTTGTTCCCAACTTGATTCAAATAAAACTGTTTTCTATAAAGAAAATCTAGGGGGGGGAGGGGGGGGCAACTGCAGAAAGTGCTATCCCAAATAAAACATTTGTTACATGTTCACATCAGGTTGAACTTTTGATTGGTTCAAAGCTCCAGATAAGCTTTTGGTATTGTGGGTATTTTACCCATGCATTTTTAAATCATTGGGTATCAGTAATTCTATCTGGGTATTCAAATTTCTGTTACCCACTAGTTTTTATACATGTGGGTATTTAAGTTAAATATTCATCTAGTCCCTGCAAACAGGTGTCGTGTGGGTTCGAGAGCTTTATAGGACTCAAAAATACCACGATAATTCCACACGAAAGTGTGATGGCAAATGATCATGATGTAACTGTCATCGTGGAGTTTGGCAAGGTTGACAGAATGCTGGTTTATAATTTCAAAATAAGATGCTGATTTGCTAATCAAATACGCAGGGTTACTTCACAATATTTTGATGATACACACAAGTTTATTTTTGTAGCATATCTGTAATGTTCGTTGCGTATTTGATACGCTTGGATTTTATTTTAATGCGTATTTCTGCATTTCTGATGCGTATTTTACGCAGATACGCAGCTTATCTGGAGCTCTGTTGGTTGATTATGTTGTTTACATGGTACACATGTATTTGTGTAAAGATCATCTATCATCTCAAACAAGTGGTTCGTCTCTGTATTGATTACCAGGTATATACAGGAATACTAATTTAAAACAGACTTGCCAATTATTTAATAGAGGAAAGGGACATATGTGATAGATAAAACACGTCAGAGGGTTTTATGAGACTTAAAACCCAACTCAAAGGAATAAAACCAAGGGGCATAAACTTGGTTTTATCCTGAAGATTACGGTTTTATTTCTCATAAAAACATGAATGTAAGTGTTTTATCTAACCTATGCACCAAAAAGAAAATTTAAGGAACATTTGTCAACATTTTATGTTTCAAACATACTTTCAAGGAACATAAAATATCTGTTGCTGGTGTACTGGTTCTTCAAAAAGACATTCTTTAAAGCATTGTGATTTATCAGCGCCTCTGTAGCCTAGTGGTACACTCACTGGGTGGGCTACAGGTACGAAGGTTGTCAGTTTGATTCACAGAAATATCAAGAAAACATTTGTCGTTTAATCGACATCATTCCACACATTTCATCACATTGTGTTCAAATGTAAAATAAATTTATAGCGAGAGACATTCACATGTGACAATATCAATGGAAGATGTATAAATAAGATTCTAGGGATATTATATAAAATCAAAGGGATTTTATAAACATCCCTGTTTATTTAACCCTTTTAGTTAAGAAATAAGGTTTGCACTCACCCCATGTGTAGTG